TCTAGAGTCAATCTTCCAACACTTCCTCATATCTGATAAAATGGTCGGGAAATGTTTAGCACCAGAAAACTTACTGTTAGTGTGCAAAATGCTTTGAAAGCAAACTGGCTGTTTGGAAGCCAACTGATGAAGTTAAGAAGAAATATAGTGAAGGGAATAAGAACAACAAACCACATAGTCTGCTCCTAGTTTGTTCTCTCCCTTCACTTATCTTTTTTATTTACTGGTCTCACAGGCTTTCTGTTCCTTTGATGAAAATCCCCTTATATCCTATCCTCTGGTTGTCAAGTTTCATTTCCAATGAGGCAGAGCATTTAGTTTCTAAAGTACAGATGATTATGTGCCCAGAATCTTACCTTTGATCACATGTAGTCTGTGTCTTCTCTTCACCTTTGGAAGTGAGAAAACCTCTTCAGGTGTGATAAGGAGGAGTATTAAAGGAAACTAGAAAGTAATGCTAGGGCCTGGCACTAGAGGCTAAGATCCTTACCCTGCAAATGCCACAATCTCATAGGTGCCAGTTCATGCCCAGTGGCCCCACTTCCCAGACAGCTCCCGGCTTGTGACCTGGGAAAGCAGTCGAGGATAGCCCAAAGCCTTGGGAACCTGCACCCACATGAGAAACCCAGAAGAGGCTCCGGGCTCATTGACTCAGCTCTGGCCATTGTGGCCACTTGGGGAGTGGATGATCAGACAGATCATCTGTCTCTCCTCCTCTCTGTACTAAAAAAAAGTAATGGTAAGGGCATTGAATGGTTATGCCCTTTATTTCTTATGATAAATCCTTAAAGAAGAGATACACTTGTTTCATGGCAAGCATGAAGTGGCAGAAAGATTGAGAACTCAATAAAAATTACAGTAGGAAGGGAAACATATAGGCCTCTTAGCAAAGACGGGGATTGAAAGGAGGCCATGCTGTGAGGACCAGAGCCTGGGGTGTCGGAACAATGTGGATGCTCACATTCCAAGATTCCTTGGGTTTTCTGTCTTGAGATATCCTGACTTATCTCCCTCCTCTTACCTTCGAACATGCTGGGATTCTTTCCCTTTGGCTCTAATTGGAATGAAGCCAGAGTTCTCATCAGCTGTAAAGGGAACTCTTGTCCAACCCTGGGGATCCAGCAGGAATGGCGGATGCCTGCAGAATAAAACTGGTTTGTCAGTGCATGTTCCGCTGAAGTATAATTGTATGTTGGCTTAAGTTGTAGGGGTTTGCTGTGTAAACACAAAGCATTCATTGCTCCAAGCACATTATCAGTGACTTGGACTCATAAAAACCCATCCCCAATGAATAGTATTGTTCATTTTAAAACCTTCTGTCTTTAACCAGAATATCCAGGATAAAATTTTGTCATTTGGGGGCCAGAGCTTTGTCATAGTAAAATAAGCCTCCAGCTTTAGCATGGGTATCAACAAATGATGACTTGTTCAAGTCCTGGCTGCTCTACTTCTGACCTAGCTCCTTGTTGGTGGCCTGAGGAAAATTTTCCTGAGCCGCTGTACCATCGGAAACTAGGAGTAAGCTCCTGGCTTCAAACTTGGCATTTGGGGTGTTCAACAGGAGATGGAAGATCTATCTTTGTTTCTCTTTCTCTCCCTTTAACTTTATCTCAAATAAATACATAAATCTTGAAAAAATTGCTGTTTAGAGGCCAGGCACATGAACCAGAACCTCTGCTCCATCCACCACTTTTGGCTGATGGATGGGGGTTGCAGCCTGGCCTAACTGTTTAAAAGGCAGCCAGCTGCATCTTAGCTTGGACCAGGCATAAGAACCAGAACCTCCACTCCATTGCCTGCTTTTGGCTGACTAGTGAGGGTCACAGCCTGGCCCGACTGATTAAAAATCAGCCAGCTCCATCTTAGCTTAGGCTGCCAGTGTGCTCTGGGGACTTGGGGTTGAGGAATTACTCCTAGGAACATCCATGGATAAGACCACCAAACGTGTAGATGAGGAATGAATCCTGAGATATTCCCAACAACAAGGCCACTGTATTTGCAGGCGAGCGAGGGAACTGAGACCCAGTGGTTTGGAAGGGAGAGAATGGAAGATCTATTTGGGTTGGACTGATTACCAGCCCACGTAGGAGTCCTGAGATGAGCTTGTTAGCACAGAACATTGCTGACTGCTACACGCCAGCTCACGTGAAAGATAGGGGGCCTGTTTAGCAGGGCTAAATCCCAGTACCTGACTGAGTATTGGAATGGGGACAGGTCACATTTGGCAGGGCCATGGCATTAACCAGAACATGAGAGAACCAGGTCTGCAGGTAGATTCTGCAGAGGTTTAGTGGACCTAACCCTGTGGAAATACAAGTCCCACTGGTTAGCTCAAGAGTTGGGGTGGTGAGGGGCTGAACTAGGTGTGATCATGGAACCCACCAACACTGACAGGTACTTGAGCCAAGAATAGCCTGGGCAGGTCCAAGCTGCAGCACCTGCATGTGTATCCTAAAACAGGGTGTGGGGCGGGCGTGACCACAACATCCACCAGCTCATGCAAAGGCCAAGGTGGAAGAGCAGGCTATGTAGAGCAAAGACCTAGCACCTGCTGGCACATATGAAATCTAGGTCTGGGAGTGGACCGAGTGGGGGAACCTTGGAAACTCCCCTATGAGGCCATAGCTCCCACTGGTGAGCATGTGTTCCAGACCTTAGGGGTCAGCAAACTGGGCAAGGTAGCTCCTTCCACCGGCAAGTATGTGGATTGGTTTTAGAAGGGGTGGACCGGGTGGGGCTGAGTAAACCTTAGCCCACTAGAGAGTGTAGGAACCAGGCTGAAACACAGGTCATGCTGGGCTAAGCTATCACACCTGCAGGTTTGCATGAGCCAAGGATAGGAACACACTGAGTATGGCCAGGTGTCAGTACCCACCAACGAGAGTTGCGACTGGGGTCAGGCCAGGTAGGCCAAGCTGTAGCATCCAAGGGCAAAGGCCAAAACAGGTGAGGAACTGCATCAATGTGGGTTAGACCAGCCACTGGTGCATGGAAGATCTATGGCTGGGAATAGCTCTACTTGGGGAAGTAAGAGAACACCCTGGCTGGGTTGTGCAAGAGTCAGAGTGGGGGCTGCTGTCTGGTCTGGACATTGGTGCAGTGTCCCTCGGGACAAGTGTGGACTGGATCTGGAGTGTGCTAGATTGGGCTAGATGACAGCACCCACTGGTGCTTGTGAGAATCAGGGCGGGTGTAGGACAGACTGGGCTAGGTGCCTGCCCCTGCTGACCCATATGTGAGCTATGTCTGGGTGTGGACCAGGCTTGGTTGGGCCATAGCACCCAACAGTGAAAACTGGAATGGAAATGAACCCAATAGGGGGCCTGTGTGGGGTTACCCTGCTGGACCACCACTCCCATTGGAAAGCATGAGAGCTAGGATGGGGGGAGACCAGGCGGGGCTGGACCACAACACCTGTTAGCCTGCATGTGAGCTGTATCAGGGAAAAGCCAGGCTGGGTTGACTATTCTTAGTGGTGCACACGCAGGCCAGAGTGGGTGTGTGTTGGTTGGACTTTGATGCAACATCAGCTGGCAGATGCTGGCATTGGGGGCAAATTTGGTCAAGTTAAACTGCAAAACCACCTGGAGAGTGCAAGGTCCAGGAGTGGGAGTGGGCCCATTAAGGAAATAGTGATACCTCTCTCTTGGGCTGCCACTCAGCATGGTGAGCATGAGAACCAGGAATGGGGCAACCATGGCTAGACAGAGTGGCACCCGCCGGCAGGTGTGTGGGCTATATAGAGGGCCTGGTTGGGTTGAACAGGGCTCGAGAGCCTGGTTGGGTTGAACAGGGCTCTAGTGCGTGTTAACATGTGTGAGGGCTGAACGGGATGGGGGACAGATTGGACCATTCTACTGCACATACAGATAAGCACGGGAACCAGGGTATTGGGGACCGACCTCGTGAGGGTTATCGCAGATTGCTCCAACTAGGCTGCAACTCCCACTGGTTTGTGTGAGGGTCAAGTGTGTGGTTGGCAGGTTCAAGATGGGCTCCAACCTACTGATTTGCATAGAAGGCAGGGCTGACCCAGCAATTGCAACTACCAGTGTGTGCAACAGACTGTGCCAGATCCTGTATTGGAAATCACACACAAGAATCAGGTCTGAGATCACCTCAGATGAAATTTTTGTGAGGATCCCCCCCAACTGAATTGCTGGACTTAGAACCCATCCATGCAGAGAATGGCAGGTTCCATGGTCTGACCCTGGAATGCATGTATCAGAGTTGGACCTCCTCAGTTGTTTAGACAGAGCAGTGGATGGCATATCCAGGTGCACATGGGGAATATGGCAGTGTATTGGAGCCTGTGTGCGACACCTGGTACCATAACAGAGGACAGAACAAATTGATCAACTACCGCAACCAGGAGTTGGCAGTGGATATCTGGGCAAACAAGACTCTAAGATGAACTATGTCAGCCAATGGATTCTGGGAAGATTTCATCGTGCTTGGAGTGCCAGTAATTCAGAACTGTGGAATTATCAAAATCTCTGAAACAGGAACCTTGGAGCTTGCCTTACATTGAGAACCCTGGGGTGGTGTCGGGTGGCTGTCCTCCATCCCAGGGTACAGTTTGGGAGGCTGAGTGTGGCTTCTCTCCTTGACTTCCCCCCTTCTCCCAGAGTCAGGAAGGGGAAAAAAAAGAGAGAATGTGGAAACAATGAGAAAGTGGTCTCACCCACTTTCCTGTAGCCCTTGACCCTTTGCACCCTGGTCATCTATGTGAAAATCATCAAAAATGAAAATTTTTAAAATTTGCTGTTTTGTGTGCCCAAATGTATGGGTCAACTGGAAATTGGCCGTATTTGATAAGCAGTGTTTTTTTTAATTGCGTAGATTTTCTTTATAATCCATTCCTATCAGCAAGAATAATGGATGACCCTCTATTCTAGTATCTCTTGTTAGAAAAAACTTCTGTGATAGTTAGCCAAGACTAAGATGGAATTCCTTCTTAAACAAATTAATTGTTTTTCCCTCTTTAAAAAAAATTCCAGGGAGAGCCCTCCTGAGACTCACTGACAAAAAGCTTGAGCGAATGGGGATTGGCCAGGAGAACCTCCGGCAGCACATCTTACAGCAGGTGCTCCAGCTGAAGGTGCGAGAAGAAGTCAGAAACCTACAGTTACTCACACAAGGTACCCTGTTGTTTCCTTGTTGGTGGTCGGGAGGGTGACCAGGAAAAAAAGTCCCTGCCAGGATGATGGAAAGGAACAGAAATTGTCTGCAGAATTTCTTTTGTTGAAAGTAATGCCATATAAGGACCATGTCCCTCCTTCCTATGTCTGTTTTTCATAGCTCACTAGAGAGAAGATATGTACCTAAGTGGTGGATGAGTGATCAGCATTGTCTGAACTAACTTCAAACGCATCACACATACTTATATATATTTTGCATTCTGCAATCACAGAATGTACCAGTCACCTCATTCGGGGTACAGTTGCACTTCCTGTAATTGTTCAGTGTGCAATCTACACAGATCTACAGTGCATCCCTAGTTTTCTTCATCCAACTACCAATTCGTAGGATGCCTTAGAGTTTGACTAATTCAGTAGTTAGAAGTGACCAGTGATTTAAATAGGATTGTTTTATGTTTTGTTTTACTTTACTTATCACTGGCAAAAGGGATAAAACTATTTGAAGTGTGTGTGTATAAATGTATTCTTATAAAAGTATTTATAAAAACATGCTCTAGAGAGTTCTAGGATCACATTCAGGCTCTTTAAATAATTTAAAATATAAAATACAGGGAATTTAAGAATGGGCTATTAACATCATATAATCATTTACAAGAATCATTAACTTCAGTATGATGAGAGTTGGAAGTGACAGTAATGCTAGAATTTAAAGAAATCCTTAAGTTGCACTGCTTATAACTTGTACGTGAGTACTTACCTAAGATGTGATTGCTACCAAACTCCATTGTCTAGAGCCTTTGTTGCTTTTAATGCACTGTGCATCACTTTAAGTAAAAAGAGATAAAATATGTGTTTTGAAGAGCCCTAAATATTTCTCAATCTGGAAAATATTGTAATTGCATGCATACTGAAATTGGAGAAATCTGTGTCAGCCAAGTTCTGTGTTAATTTTCATGTCATTGCATTTAGATTAACCTGGTAATTATTCATTTGCTTAGAGGAAATACTATACTATCTGCAAGATGACTGCTCCAGACGGATAAATATAGACTACAACTGATAAGGAAACAGCATTGTTTATTTTATGTGTGTTATTTCAATTTTGTCCTGAGGGATTTCCAGTGGTGAATTTGCAGATACTGGTACACAGACTGATTTAAATTTCATTGTGACGTATTGATATACTTTTAGTGTTCATATAGGAAATAAGTAGATATATATGAAAGTCCTTTCCAGTCTACTTGTAAAATAGAAAATTTGAAAGCAATCTAGAAGTTTGGTAATATGGAAAGACTCAAATAATCCTGCTGAAATTTATAAGATATAATATAAAACAGTAACTAAAATTATACCTTCAAAGAACACATTCCACATAGGAAATTACTCAAGTGGGAACACAAACTAGGGAGTGGGAAGCATATATAAAATTTTATTTATGGCATAATCATAATGTTTGAAACCTGAATGTTCATATATGTACATAGAAAGAGGACTGAAAGTAAAATTTGCTGGTATTCTGATAATAGCGCTCTGTGCATGGTGGGATTTTGAGTGATTTAAATCATTTTCTTTACATTTGTTCTCTATTTTCTAAGATTTCCAATGAATGTATAACTAAAGCTACAAATCACACTTATGCATGTTTTTAATGCTTCAACCACAACCCTAGTTCCTTTGAGTTCTGTTAGTCTGTGATGTTCCCTCAGACATTCTGTTTTTCTCCCGTGACACTATTCCGTGACACCAGACAGAATGAAACCTAAACTTGCCCGTGCCTTTGACTCTGGCCTTCCTCTGTTGTCACCTTGGAGCGTGTTTGCACTATAAAATCATTCTCTACAGCTCCTGTTGCCCCAAATGCATAATATTTAAGATTTTTCCAAATCTATTAAGCTAAATATATATTGTGTTCTGGGAAGATAATGCCAAGTTCAGCCTTTTCATTTCAGTTGTCATTTTCTTCAGCTTTGAAAAGCTCTGCATTTTTAATTTTTTCCTCCTATCCCCATTAGAAGACATCGCTGTTTTCCAGCTTATGGATATTCTGTCTACACTCATTTTGGCTTTTTTAGTGTTTGTCCATTATATGTTAGCATTCATATGGATTTTATGTCACAGTTAGAAGATGTTACTTTATTGAAGAGGTAGTTTTCTTTAAAAAAAATTGGAAGCAAAATGGATAAATTTGTTTTTATGACTGATAGATTTTCTCAAGCTAAGTACAGCTTGAGATAGCTAAAATATTTTGAGTCTAGGTTTGCTGTAATAAGAAGTGGAATCCCATCTTACGTAAGTGAATTGGTTGGTTTAGCATGAATGTCAGAAGGAAATTCACCATTTGTGATTCAGTGTTGGATTTAAGATTGCTCATCTCCCCAAAGATTAGCATAAACCATACTGTGAGTGAGGACAAACAGAGATCTCAGAGTGTTGCTTAGCTGCTAAAACTCCCTGGGCTTTCCCTTGAACTATGTGAGTCACACTTCCAGTCAGTAGAAATGTAATGTGTTCCCACAACCCATGCAGGATTGTCCCTTTGGTATGAGGCATTTCATTTTTGTTGTTGTTGATGATGATATTGTTCCCATTTGTGCTGTTGTAACAAAAAAACTTCCAACTGAGTAACTTGGAAACAGCAAACATTTTGTTTCTCATTTTCTGAATGAAACCTGAGAAATCAGTGTCTGAGAAGAGACCTTTTTCTCGCTGGCTTTCTCACTGAATGTTCATCTCACTACCTCCTCACCGGGCAGAAAGAGGGCGATCTCTGGAAGCTCTTTGATGAAGCCACTAATTCCATTCATGAAGACTCATCCGGCATGATGTAATTTCATACCAAAGGCCCCAACTCCTAATAACACCATGTGATTCTCAAGCGGGCATAGTGTTAAGCCCATTGCATTGTCATTTAACCAGTGTTTTTGCTAACACATTTAAAATAAGCTTATCACCTACAGTCTAGTCCTTTTTCCATGAAGGGAATTTATTTCAAAACACACAGAATTTCTGTTTTGAGCTTCCTGCTTGCTTTTGGAGTCAGTTTTCAAAATACAGGATCTTGAGAAGAACTGAAGTGTCTGTCTTTAAGACAGCAACTAATTAAATTGTGATATATCCAGGCAGTGGTATACTGTGGAACTATAAACATAAGAATGGGGAATACTAATATACAAGGATCTCTGGAATGCTGTGAGATGAGAAAAAAGGAAAATGCAGAACGATATGTATGGTTATGCTATTCGTACCCAAGAGTCTCAAAAACCATGTGTATCTGTAAGAGCTTTCTTCATTTAAAGACACACCAAAAGATACACAAGAGTATACCACCTGCACAAAATGGAAGATGATAGATGGAGGGAAGACGTATGTGAGTTTGAATTTTGAAGTTTGCGAGTATATTTGCTAGTAAATAAAAATTTTTTAAAGAAACAATAATGGGGCAAAACAGAATTTTAGCACCAGTTACTGCCAGGTCTGACAAACATACTTAATCTCTCCATGCACCAATTTCCTAATATTTGACATGGGGGTCACTAAGTCTGTTCAACCATTAGAAATATTCTAAAAACTAATGTAAAAATATCTCAGTGTGTTACACTAATCACACACACACAAAAAAAATAGCAGTAGTAGAAGCCATGAAAGTAAATCAGCCTTATAAATTTATAGTAAACCTAAGTTTTTGGACATCTTGAGATAGAACTCATATAACATGCTCCTTACCCACTTAAAGTGTACAGTTAAGTGATTCTTTTAGCTTATTTGCCGAGCTGAGTTCTGTGCATCTTATAGAACTATGCCATGTATAATGTTGGTGGTTGTCTGTTCTCATAGGTAATATCTTTCAGGCAGCTTCACATCATAATCATTTGTCAATATTTGATTTTTATTGATAAATACTATTTCATTGTATGAATATTCCACATTGTATTTTTCCATGAGTAAATGGGAATTTGGGTATTCTCTGATTTCTGCTATTGATACTTCTAACATCCATGAGCAAGTGTTTGCATATGCAGTTGTTTTCAAGTGTTTGGGGTGGAACTGCAAGTGCTTGTTCACATGACGGCTCAGGGTTTAACCAAAACCCTCAGTCATTTCACTATCGTACATTCCCAAAGCAGCACATGAAATTTTCAATTTCTTTATATTCTCACTAATATTATTGTCTGTCACATACATTTTTTTGGTATGTGTGAGGAGATACCACTCTCATTGTGGTTTTCAACTTCATGTCCCTGATAACTAATGATGTTGAACACCTCTCATTTGTGGACGATTGCTGGTCCTTTGTGTACGTTCTTAAAAACGCAAGACATCTAGTCAAATCCTGCGTTAAGTTTTGGAGGGGCTATTATTTTTAATCATAGCTTTGTTTTTTGCCAGTCAAGTTTAACTGTGCTTGATTGTCCACCTTAAATAGCTGAATAATTGCCTCCTGTATCCAAAGCAAAGTCTGTCCTCAAAGGATGAAGTCTCACGCCACCAAGAACACTCAGAAGCACCCATATAATCAATTACACACTATTACAAACTGTATAACCAACTCCAGAATGAAACAAATGAATGCCCCCTGGATCTTTTTGGTCACAAAAACGACACACTTTGGATGTGAATGCTAAACATGAAGCTGCACACATGTGCGTGAACCCCTCCATACACACACACACACACACATACACACACAGCACAAGTTGGTGAATCAATTTGCAATTCTACCTCCAAGTTTGATACACATACCTGAAATTCATTTCACATTGCTTCTAGGAGACATGATATCACAGATTCTTAACCCCCTTTTCCAGTTTCCAATCCATGTTTTATAACTTATCTTCAGCTTTTGATTCTTCAATGATGTTTTCGCACAGTTGGTCAGGAGCCCTGTGACTGTGGCCACGAAAACCACAAATTGACCAGGAAAGCACCCTCTAGGCAATGAGAGTGAGCAGAACACAAGCAAACAAATTACTTTCCCTGCTTTTTCTTACTGTTCTCCTCCT